AATGTTTCTGGCTGACATTGATTCAATGTTGTTTCAATCATTCTGTGCTATCTGGGCTGTTACCTTCATCTGTCTTCAAGCACGGGTTGATTTTCAATGGCGCAAAATAATTACGTACTCAGCCTCAAGACAGAGTACTCAAAGTAATCTCTCTTACTGCACACTCATGCAACCATGATTAGCCAGGAAAACCATTCAAGAATCTTTATTTTCTTTATTTTTTTCTACAAAAATATTTTACATTAGAAAACACAGCTTGAAATATACACAGTCCACTTGGTTTGCAGTAACCATGGAACATTGTGACTCAAATATATCTGTCTATATTTAAACTTGTAGGTAAATATATCAGCAACAATAACAAATCTGCTGCCTTTGTGAGGTCTGCGATAGATGTCGTCGAACGGAGCTTGGGCTTGTGTCGGAAATGCTCCACGGGATGTCGTCTCGTCAAAGCAATGGCTCACAATATATTCATACTTAATACAAAAAGAAAATACAGCAAACTAATACTACCTCTGGTTATGGCAGGGAGTGTGTAAGGTGCTCAGGTACCACCTGTGTGATGGGGAGGGAGGGAGTGCAGGAAACGGATAGAAAGCAAGGAGCACGTCAACAAGCAACAGCAGGAATCTTGGTTTTGAATGTTCTGTCCGACATTCATTTGTCGTCTTCCACCCCCCCCACGTCCCATGTTCCCTTGTCTTCCTCTTGACTGTGCGTGTACCTGTTGAAAACCAGCATGCCACTCATGTGTCTTCAACACGTCAAGCTCCCACAGAGCCATTGATCTGTCAACCTAACCATCTCTCTGCAATACATCCCAAGGTACATTACACCTGCCTGCACAGACGGGCGCTGCAGTGTCAGTCACCTGTCGAGCGATGACACCTCGGGATGTCGCTCTTCCCCCTGGTGGGAGTCTATATTCAGATTAATAGGGATCCTGTCTCTTCTGCTGGGATCGGCTGATCTGAATCTCAACTCGGCTTATTCGTTGTCTTAGAAATAATAGTCAGACCCCTTGAACTTTTTCATGCTACCACAAAGTTTAAATGTATTTCATTGGGTTTTTGTGTGATAGATCGACGTAATCTAGTGGAAAGTACAGAATGGGAAGCAAACCATTTGCAAACATATTGACACGTGGACATCTACCCAAACTGACAGGCAGGGCATGGAAAGGATGGGAAGAAACCTTGGCTTTTGACAATAGGAGTGCACCCAACTAATCTAGCCCTTACAGAAGAGTGGCAAGAAGAAAGTCATGGTTGAAAGAAAGAAATAGGACATCCTGTTTGCAGGAGCCCACAAGCAATGAAGAAGACAAGGCGTGCAAGACCAAATTTAAGCTTTTAGGGCATCGCTCAAAACTCGGTGTGGGGTGGAAAACAAACGCTGCACATCATCTGGAAAACACCATCCCCATTTTGAAAAAGGGGGTGACATCATCATACTGTGGGACAGGGAAGCTGGTCAGAGGTGAAAAGAAGACATATTGAGCCATACGAAATCTAATTCTTAAAATTAACCTGTTAAGAGAATGAAAAATAGTTGGGTTTGGGGCAGAGGATACCCATAAATCAGAAAAAAAATATAAGTGTGCAGCCTTTGCTATAGAGTACTTTAGATTAAAGGTTACTCCCATCTTAAAAGAGTCAAAAATGTGGCAATGAAAACTGACGTTCACAGGCACTCTTCAACCAACCTGACAGAGTTTAAGGCTAATTTGCTGAGAAAAACTGTAATATTTCACTAAGAAGTTGTCCACCTCTGCTCAGAGAGAGCTATTACAAAATATTTGCAGATGAAAGGTGACTGGATAGAGTAATTTCTCATGAGAGCTAAATACAGGTTTCTACATGTCTTTTAGTAGAAAGAAAATTATTCTCCAATTATGCACCACTAGTGTTGGTCTGTCACAGAAAATCCCAATGAAAGGCGTGAAACACTTTGTCAAACGAATACTTTTCCAAGATACTGTCCATGTAGACTGGTGTGTGTATATATATATATATATATGAAGACTGACTGTACAGAACAAATGTAGCTTTCATCTGAGAGTATTCACTTTCAACTTGATCAAACATCTTAGAAATTACAGCTTTTTCAGAAGGTAGATTTATTTGAAGCGTAGAAGCTACAATTATTCCTGCTGCTGTCAAAATAATGGAACAAGTTCAGAATTACAAGTATGGTAACACTATCTGTAGGATTTATTTGGTTCTGGATCCGAGATATTACACCTTTTGTGTTGGAAATAAATTAGCTCAGATTTACAGTTATTCAGCAGATATGCTGGTTGGAGTCGACAGCTGCTGTAGCCTATAGAGGACTTCTAGCAGGTAACACTCAAAGCGTTCACACGTTGATCAGCTGCATTCTGCTTCTTTAACATCTTATCATAAAACTTTAAAGTCGTCAATATGGCATACGCTGATCAAATCTTATCTAGTTCACACTTCAAAAGACTTCAAAGAGAAGTGATTCCATTAAAAAAGGCAACTCACCTCCTGGCATTGCCCTCGATTCCATGCTACAGCTAACCTCAGGGGTAAGCCGACAGCTTCGTTCAATCAAATGGAGACAAATATGGATCCAGTTTGGATGACGGCGCAGGGCAAAGGTAAACGTGTGCTCGCTTGAGATAGCTTCAGAACACGCACGTCAAACTATTAAAGGAGTTTGAGGATGCACACTTGGACATCGAGAGGCTAAAGTTTTGAATAAACAAACCCCTCCGCAACAACCGAATCCACCGAGCGTCCCCGTCGTGACGGCATTTTGTTACTTTGGGTCGAGAAGGTGGGGTTTTGTTTTTGTGGGGTTTTTTTAACTGAAGAAATGGTCATAATAAACACAGTTTAGATTTGGTAGATTGAGAGGTTTTGTGTCGTTATTGTCAACAAAAGCTAATTTACATTTTAAAATAAGGAACTATAGTCTCAGAGTGGTGGAATATGAGAACCAGAGAAGCCCTGCATTATCTGTCTTTGGCCGCTTTCAGGGTGATAAGGTTATTTTTGAGGAAATTTGCATATATGACAGAATACAATTTTACAAAAGACTTTTATGTTTAGTGCTGTTTTCAAAGCAGAACTGTGTTTGTGTTCCTATGCAGATTTAGGTTGGTTGAGCCTGCTGGTAGTATCAAAACAACAAATACCTTGGGACTTATCAGTCTGCTGTAGCTCCACCAACAATGGAGTGAATTTATAGATTTTGCACCTGTTGTGAAGCAGGATCAAAAATGTTTTTGTTTTTTTTAGCATGCTTTCTAGGTCTTGTAGTTGTTTGAAAATTATTCAAACGGTCTTAAAATCTGCTGGTGAAGCAGATTGACACAAAGATTCTCTTATTAGTTTGGCTAAAATAATTCAACAAGCAACAAGTGGGGGAGGGCCAGCACTGCATTATCCTATGCCTCATATTGCTGCATAAACACATATCTAAAAAAAGAAACGTCATAATGCAGGATTGGTATGATAGAAAAGTGGTTTTGAAACCATAACATTTTAAGCCCTCCATACCAGTAACTGCCTAAAGAAGATCGAGGTATCTTTGAACATTAATCAGAACTGTGAATGAATATCTTTCTGATTTAAGCTGCATTTTAACTAACTAAACAAATCACCAATAAGCAAACATTTGCAGTATCAGCATTACAGCATTAGGCTCTGATAAATAAAACTGCTTTAAATCCCATTTTATAAAAGATTCAGCTTTTATTTTGTCAATAAGAAGCTGTAATTTCCAAATCTCTGTCAGTGTTGACGTGAATGCTCTCAAACCCTAGCAGGTTGAGCCACGAGCTCTTATTCATAAAACTGAATACCTCAAAGTAAGTCGCCATTAAATCTATAATGATATAACCACTTATATCTGAACATTCCCCTCTTCTTAGCCCTCTCAGTATTATGAGGCCATTTGGAAAGTGAAGTTAACTTGTATTTCTGTGCAACTCAGCTTATGAAACATCTAATACCGTCACTGTCAGTGGATATTAACTGATAATTGTTCATAAAACAGCTACTGCAAAGCTCTTTAAGTGACCATAAGATGGCATGTGAAATAAATAACTCCCAAGAAAAAAAAAGAGAAATAAAGAGAACAAAACAAACTAAATAAACCGTATTTATATGATCAAATTCTTCCAGTTTTTTTCTTTCTTTCTTGCAGAGCATCCGCTAATTAGTCTCTCTCTTGCACTCAACACAAGTACTTAACCCCGTGCTTCAGCATCATAGCAGTTCATTGGGGAAGGTCAGTAAGAGTGTCCAACAAGGCAGCAGCAGCCAAACTGGAAACAGGGGTAAGTGATCAGCCAAAGGCGAGGCGGTGTCAGAGGTGCAGGAGCACACCTCGTATCCATTCTCTGCGTGGTCTGGGTGCTGGTGCACGTTGACCCTCGTCTCCGTGCTTTTGGCTTCTGTGTCCGGAGAGTCCGACTGCATCTCGGTGCAGAGCAGCCAGTCCTTGGCAATCAGGCGAGGGTATCCTGCCTCCGCCTCCATGTCGCTGCCCGGCACTCGCCAGTACTCCTTGCCCTTGAAAAAATAGGATGATCCTTTAAGGTAGAGATTGAAAGAGAAAACATGGTTGGGATTTTGTTGTATTTAGGGTGCAGTTACTCAAAAGAACATAAAGTTAGAAATCAGGAACTTGCAAAGGGACTTTTCCATATTTTGCCACATTTGCAACCACAAAGTCTTAGATTACGAATTAGGTTAATACTGAGTTAATCCAGAACCCGCCTGGCACTCCACCAATCTAGCCTTCGTAGAAGAGAGGCACAAAAGAAAAAAAAAATGTTGGAAGAAAATTATAAGAAAATATAGCAAAGAATTTAAATAATTTGCTCAAGTCAACAAAATAACCTGTTTGGAGAAAGATTGACACTCTGAACACAGTCCCCACTGCGATACATGGTGGTGGTCCCATCATGCTGTGTTTTTTTTTTTTTTTAAGGATGGACAGGGAAGCCAAGAAATCTGTAACTTAATTTTTTTTTGTGCACAAATGTTTTTTTTTTTTCTTTTTCTTTTTCTAGTCTGTCTTGGCTTGAACTACCTTGCAAAGAGACATGGGCAACAGTACCAGGCCATAAGTGAGCAAACCATTCTCAAAACGTCTACAGCTGTAATTGTGGCAAATTAGTTCTGCAGAACTGATTCACCACAGAATCAGAGGGGTTGAATAGAAGTTAAAAAAAAAACAAAACAAAAAAAAAAAAACATCTGATTTTTTATTTGTGTATCCATTTCCTTCCATTAATGCACTACATTGTTTTTGTTGTTGTTTTGTTTGGGTTTTTTTTGTTAGGCAACCCTTCCCTTGCCCTTAATGCAGAGATGGAGAGACAGAGCACAGCGGCTGTTTCCACATTATAAAACTTCAGTACACGTAGATGCATTAGCAGGAGTTTCAGAGTGATGTCATTAGAGAGATTCTCAGAAAGGTGAGGTGAAGAAAATGACCCAAAATGAGAGTTTACAAGGGGACCAACGTAAAGAGCTGATTTTGTGCCTAGAAATGCAACAAAAAAAAAAAAAAAAAATCAGAAAAGTAATGAGCGGAAAATGGTCATTATCCCAAGAAGGAAATACGCTTGTTAGTTCAGTGTACATAATGAGCTATTAGCATCAGCAAGCTGGTCAGAGACCTGGGTTTATGAAGGCTGGGAGAGTTTGCACTAAATCTGCAGGAATAAATTCCCATCTTTCTTTAAGACAGCTTACAATGGTGCAATGTGTGTGGCTCTCTGTGTGTGTGTGTGTGTGTGTGTGTTTCGGGGAGGTCTAATGAATACTGCTAATGAAGTCAGTCTCTGTATGGCATGTGTTTAGAATTCCAGAGAGGGTGACAGCTGAAAGAGGTGCAGACTAATTGCTTTGAGCTGAAAATTTACACCTTTGTTATGCTTATAATTACCCAGCTAGGCAGAGGTTCTCCTCTTGATAGCATACTGTTGATCAATAACTCCAAATTATTTCAATATCGGCCTAGACTGTCAAGAGTGGGGCTCCGCATGGTAAGAGCTACAGTCCTACGTTGCATAAGATTTTGGGTTTTACGTTGCAAAAATTCAGCTGGAATTGCAACGCATCGCAATGGATTCAAGCTCATACTGATCACTGATCATAAAACTGCAAAGAGGATATTTATGGCATATGGTAATGTGATTCTTCCTTCTCTACCACATATTGTTCACACTGGTTGTTCATATCTGGATGTACATTTCTTCTGAATTTTTTTGGTCCATCTGGACAAAGAAATACCTTCCAACAGAGTGGTTCAATAAGCGATAATAAATTTGACAAATTGCCCCGTTCACTTGAAGAAAGGCACACTATTCATAACAGTCATCAAATAGGGCCAAGTGTAGCAGTTTCAGTAGCAGTTGTGTAAAATTAAATTAATTGTCCAATAGAGATATTTCCTTTTTCCTCTTTTGGATTTTGACAGACAGAGACTGGCAGAAACCAAACTGATAGTTTACATTTAGGTATAATGCATATTTCACACATAAAAAGCTTGGCAATGTTCTCAGCCATATTTTCTAGATATTGGATAAGAAATAAGGAAGCTTTGTTCATTTTTGTGACAGATGCATCCTCACCCCACATCGGAACACTATGGTTTTGTCGATATGACTGAAAGCACAGTAATGGCATCTGCAGTTGCATATCATTAGCTGTAGGGGCTAATAGCCGCTGCCCTATCTAGTGATATATATCAATGGAACAGATGGAGGGACACAACGTTTTAGACGGTAATAAAAATTCACTTTTTTCCCCTCTTTCTTCCATTACAATTCTTTACTTTCCCTGAGGGTGTAGGAGCCCCATGTCAGAGCTTTGTGGTTCCCTTTCCAGCATGTTTAACAGAATACAAACTATTGTCCACTGAAAGACTCCTGTTGAGCTTGATGACATAGATTTAAAGGCAATCCAGTCATTTGAAGCAGCTAATTTGAAGCAAAGTAACATTTTTAACTTTTAGTACAGTGGATGATGGTGGAAGACTCTGAACTCAGAGTTGCTGCAGGAAACAAAGGATAGTGGTGACTTTGAAAAGTTTCCTGAGAACCTTTTATTAAATAGCTCATTTTGTAAAGTCTAATGATCTAAAAGAATAAAGAGCTCCCTTCAGTAAAACTGAAAGACAATGCAGCCAGCATTCAAACTTGGGTCCTCCCACATTGTGCAGTTCTCTTAGAAGAAGGGAAAGAGAGACTTCTGCTGGCTGCGTATCAAACTAAGTCAGACAAAAAAAGTAATACAATAAAGTTTCCAGCAGTTAAAGTTCTAAAGCAGACATCATTCACCCCCCAAAAAAAGCTTTACACACACTATTATGAATCACACATATCCTGAATCAATGGCTAATGTCTAAAAAACAACAACAAAAAAAAACATTCAGAGCGCCAGGTTTGCAGCTGGAAAGCATCAACAGCACCGATAGAAACAAGAGAAATAGAGACATGAGTGTCCCTAGGAGAAATACACCAGGCACACCTGCAATGGGTCACCTGGTTACATTGTGGATTTTTTTTTTTTTTTTTTGTAAATTACATATTCTGCTCAGTGTTCTCTGTCATGCAAGTGTTTCTGCAACAAAGCAGGCACTTGAAAATTTGACCTATCGTAAGTCCCTGGTAATAACGGGTAACCTTTCTCCAGAATCTGAGGGATGAAGAAAATGTCACAACCATGATGATGTGACACTTTTTAGGGAGACATTCTCTCTCACCAAATGATCACATGTATATGATTAAATCAATAAATTTTAACCTGCACATCTATAAAGTTTATACATATTCATATCTCATATCACAGCGCCCATCTTTACAACACTTTCAGGCAAAGACCCCATTTCACTCCCTGTTTATGAGGTCCTTAAACTTTTTTATTTGTTCTCTTATGGCTGTTTTAGGTTGCACCGAGTCCGTTGTCTGCACACACCTCGGGGTGTCTTTCCTTGATGTGTGGTGGCATAAATTTAAAGCAAGCTTTTTAAAGTTTCAATATGGTAATGCTTCAGAGAGGGGATGTTTTATGAAGTGCATCAACTTTATTATCACAGCAGTTGATTCAAAGCCACATCTGAGCACTGTCACTCCTTGATGTGATGCCGTTTTAAACCTAGAAATATTTTAACCATTAAAAATGGCATTGTGAAGAACCTCCGAGTCCATGTGTCCCGGAGTTTCTACGTTTTAGATTAGCACAATTAAATGAACGTTTCTTTTACATCTCTTGACAAAACTGTGTGAAAGCAGAACTGCGTCCTTTATCTGCCCCCACTTTTGGCATTTCTCCGCGGTTCCTTTTTTTCCTCCTGTGCCCATCATTTAGCAAGGCCACACCTACAGAGTCCCATCACAACAGCTATCCTCTGCTGCTCATCAATAATCACAATGTCCAGACGTTTGGCCGTCACCAATTTGTCCGCGCGTATTTGGAAATCACAAGCGATCTAAGCTCAGTTATTTTCCGCCACCTGTGTCTGACTGTCTACGAACTTTCAAAAAGCGATCCGTGACTTTTTGTTTTCCTGGAGTCTAAATATAATATAAGAATTATGTGGGTTTATCTCCAGCAGTTGTAGAGCAAAAGGTTGGCATAAGAGCAGCGTAAGACCGATGTATATTTAAAAGTCAAAAAGACAGCTTGATGTAGTCTTTGAACAATAAAATCAGATGGATCACATCTTTTGAGTCACATCTTTCTCCAAAAAATAACTCAATCTGCACATGAAAAATGTCTTATAGAAATATCTTATTTTATCTATCAATACAATAAATTCAATTTTAATTAATTTATTAGCCAATGTCATACAAACAAGTCCCATTCATTTTTAACTGCACTGAGTCCAATTTAATCCAAAATCAATTCAATTCATTCCAATTTTTTTATTCATTCCAATTTACATTTTCCTTTTTCTGTACATTATGATATTGTATCAAAGATTAAAGATTAAAGAAGAAATACAGATTTGCATCCTGTAAACATTACTGGCCTTGCCTGGAATAATGAGCTCCGGTAACACACACACATCGCCTCATGTGCTCCTTTAAAACCTGGTACTTGATGAGAAACAAAATGAGTATTAAGGGATGATGGGATGACGGTTATAGGGAGGTGAAGGAGACATCATATCTGCCAACAGCTCACACAACACATATGCTCATTTGGTTGAAGTAAAGTATCCTGGAGGTGAATCAGCAGGGACTTCTGTAAATGTTTTGCCAATTTCAAATGCTAAAAAAAAAAAATTAAAAGTGTTATGTGGGAGTTTTTGGAACCGTTGCAAAAACAGCAAAATTTTTTAAAAGCAGCAACACATCTAAAAGGAAAATAAGAGACGTGAGAGCTATTTTTGATTAATATTCTGTTTTTTTGTGAAAATGACTTCAATAACTATCTTTATGCCTCACTTGACTTAGCGTGTGCTGCTTTTTATTAAATGGAAAATGCAAATGCAACAGTCCCTGCAGAGAGCACTTGCTCAGAAAAATCTGCGAACCATGTGTGCCTCAGCGAAGAAAAGATCACAAAAGGCTGA